GACAGAAGGTGTCTTTTATTTAAGCTTGTAGGGTTTACACAGGGCATTTCTCAACCAAATAATCAAAATTTCAAAACCTTTAGGGTGTTGTCCTCAGCTAGTTCTATTTAGAGTAAGGGTTATCTTGAAGAGATTTGTGAGTGTAGTTGTGGCCTAATGGAGTGAGTCCCTAATAAGGTTCACAGGAATAAATAAAAAAAAATTAAGATAGTTATAGCCACAAAAACACTTTTCAGTTTAGACTTCAGAGGACAGACATTGTAAAAAGAGAGGCTGCCTCTGGATACTAATGTACCGAGAACATTCAGGATGAGAAATCAATCTGTTAAAAATAAATGCTAACCTGATGACAAAAAATGATTCAGAGGGTAGAACCCGAGTCCCAGAGGAAAGGACTAGATGCCATGGAGATTAATGATGGGCTTTGAACGCTAATCAAGAGACTGCTACTTGTGCATCATTCCACAGGTTAAAACGGAAAGCTGAACTGCTGCAATGCTTTATGCTGAACTGCTGCTGTAAGGGAATGATATCTGATTGGCTTTTGAGGGGCTTGAGTGTGCTTTGTGTGTTTACCATTCTACCTTAAGAAATGTTTCATAATTCAGGATATTTGCTAATTCCATCCTTAATACTTATGTGCTAGGTTTAAATTCAAAGTTAGGGAGGTGTGGGAGTCAGGGCTGACAAACAATCCAGGACATTCTACTAACTACCACCCTTGAAAACACACTGCCTATTTGCATCTGAGATCTCTTCCCAGTAACCCTGTGGTCAGTTCCCATAAGTGCAAGTGAATTTTATAAAAGATGACAAAATGAGAATAGAACAAACCAAAGGGGACATTCATGTGCTATCTCTACAGACATTAAACATACTTCTTTTAAGGGATGATGAAATTGTATGAAAAAATTAGTAAAGAAAAAATTTCTTTTTTACTGCTGTCAGTTCTTCTATCTCTAATGCTAAGAACAAAAGTAACAATAACAGAATTTCTAAGGTCTCAAAGACAGTCTTATTTTTTAATAAAGGATTTGATTTTTGAAATATTTGGGAATATGTATGTGTCTTCTAGTAAGAGCTGATCTTTTAAAAAGAGAAATAAAGTCAAGAGTGTAATATTTTATTCAGATTATTCATATTTGACTCAGCTTAAAATTAAATCAACGCTGACATTAAGATGTCAATAGTGTGCCATGAGGAAAATGATTAGTTTAGCCGAAGAAGTAAACATAGGTTTTACACAAATGTTTATACTTGAAGAACTATTGGACTTTCTGACTTCGGATTTCATAATGATTGACATTTACTCCTTTCCTCTGGAAGTATAATAATGGTATAAAAACCAACAGAATCTGTGTTCGGAAGGCATGTCTACCTATGGGAAAGCTCATCTCTAAGACCCTAGTTTTGTTTTGCTTTTTTAATTTGAAGATTTATGAGGCAATTCCAAAACTATAATGAATAACTGAGCCATCTACTCCATACAAAAATTCAAAAAGTTTCAGAAGATTGTCTCCACTCTTTGCAGCCTTGATTAAATTAAATATGTAAGTGGCTTGACTGAATTAAATCTAGTAAATGTTACTCTGTATATCGCTTTCTGAGAAAAAGCATATTCTTCTATATTTTTCAAGAGGGAAAACTTGCTATGTGTATATTTCATTATCAGTTGAATGGGCACTCAAGTTTTCATTTTTATTTATTAGTGATTATTTAGTGGGCAGATTGAAAACTGAATGGAATAATTTTTGCTTAATTTATTTATTAAGCAGCAAACATCACTTCAGGGAATAAAATAAATACTAGGGTGGTACCAGGAATAGAACTCAGGACCTCGCACTTGCCAGGCAGACTCTTGTGCTGCTGAGCTATGTCCCAGCCCTTCTTCATGCATTTTCTCAGTGTTCTTGGAAAAGAGAAGAACATCCATCCTTACAGTGAGGAGGGATAAATGCAGCAGACTGCTAGGAAATGCAGGCTGCACAGCGTCTGTGACAGAAAAATGGCCAAGGACACCTAAGGGAAATTAGGAAACATTCAGAATTTATGGAAGAGGGATTTGATCTCATATTCATTTTTATCTGCAATGGGGGAACTGTTTGTTGGCTGGGAAAACAATTAAGCAGAAGGATCAATCATACAGTTATTGCCCCAGACTGGGACATCACTCACATAAAAGCAACCAGGGAAAGAGAAATGGGCAGATCTGAAAAGTACTGAGGAGTGAGTATCCTTTCAGTGAGGAAGGTTTCAACTGTGTCTAATATAGTCTAAAATGCAGTGTCTTAATCCAGTGCTTCTACTCCAGGATACACAGAAGCATCCTTTGGAAAGCCTTCAACATTCACATGCTTGGGCTTATTGAAACAGACTCTTCAGAGCTGTGTCTCAGCCCTTAATGTCCTCTATACCTGGATTTCACCATGAGGTGCTTCACAGACAACCTCTCTGTCACATTCATTTTCTCCATTACATTCACTTTTAAATTATACTGAATTGAAAGTCCACATCATAGATTAGGATGACAAACATGATTCACAGAACTGAGTTAATTTAGTATTATTCATATTGCCACAAAGACACCACAAACTGGAGAAATTACTAATTGGTGAACATACTGTATTAACCACTAAGTAGATTAAAGAAAGAATAATACAGTGCAGGTAGTGACAACTAAAAGGAAGAAAATCATGGATGAACTAATGGGATTTAGTATTTTGTTATCATCTAATAAAAATGTCTGAAAAAGTTTTAAATGTGGTACCTTTAAAAATGTTAGCTAGTTGTAAAATTTAAAGGTATCATTAAAGTACTACACAAGGAATTTATCATTAATACTTGTATTTTTTAAAATATAACAGACAATGTTAACTATACGGATAGGTTCACTTTAAAAACTCAGGTCCTGCAGTGTTTTCCAAGTGGATTGCTCTCGCGGATTTTGGTGGTCAGTGTGGAGGGTTAACTTCACTGGCTTTGGAGTCTGCCCCAGGATTAGCGGTATTATGTTAGGTGGAGTACGAGCCTGCTATTTATGGTCTTTACTTGCAGGTTAAGCCCGGTTTAAGGAGATTTGCTTGGCTGTGAGGCTGACAAGGTCTGAGCTGTGGCACTGAGGGTGCGGTATCTACTCGATTTGCTCTGCTGCACAAACATGCAATTATTGGTCACCACACATCACCTCTAAAAATCAACTTTTTCCTTTCTTTAATGGAGAAAGCAAAAGTAGAAACACAATCTCAATAAACCCTGAATACCACTGAATATTTTTTTAAATTATAAAATTAAAAAATTTAAGAAAGCCTCTTGACATTGCTTGTCAATTCTTCTTCCTTTTTACTTGCATTGATTTTGCAGACCAAAGAGTAGTATAAAGCTGAACAGTTGAATGTTACAGACTGAGGGATTAATATCTTTTAATGTAACAGATCTTATTAGGTTTGCCTTGTTCAAAGAGGTTCATACTGAATAGTAAGCAAAAGGTAAGGGAGATTCTAATTTATTCATATCTTGTTTGAAAAGAAACCATTCAGGCGTACATTTGGTATTCTGCTGGTAAATATTTAACAGCAGGAATGGCAAAATTTTTTTGAAAGCCCTACTTTGCAGAGTTTGCCAATATGGCATAAATACTCCCACGTGGCTGGTTCTGAACTACAAAAATGACACACATGAATAAACACAGGGAGATGATGTAAGGGAGCTGTTATAGGACATACACCATGGCAATCCAGTGAGTCCAAGTTCGCAAGTGTAGATAAGAGTAACACAAAGAGGAACTGGTTTCTGAGTGCTGTTATCCTTTAAAAATATTTTTTTCAACTACAAGCGTATATAACATTTTTTGCCTTTTTAAACTGCCCAGTCACAGAATTACTGAAGCTCTCGTGATAATCAGGACACCTTTCACTTCTATATATACTACATCATAGATTCTAAGCACAAAGACTACCTAAGTGATCTAACCAGGTATGAAATATAATAAACATCTCTTCAAATGTTTGCTTATAAAACCTAATGAAAGCATAAAACTGGATGCCTCCAACAGTTTATGAAAAAGTTTACCTTAAATCAACCCTTTCCAATTCAATTCTCATCTCCAGCAGCAGATACTAAAAGTGTCATTGTTATGGAAAGTGTTAAAAATATTAACAATCATTATTATAATGTAGTCACATTACTACTTATTCCAAGTAACACATATTGTTGTTCTCACATCATAAATAAATGAGATGTAATAAAAGTTACTTCAATTTGAAGTCACAAGTTTTAGGTTGTTTTTCTGAATTCCCACTTACTAGAGGAAATTCTTTTAAAATTTCTGACCATCACTTTCTACATCTATGATATAACAGTAGAAATTACCATAGAATACATTTGTGATTTTAAAAATGATAGCACAGCAGACTCGAATCTTAAAGTCATTACTGGGGAAAAACAAGAATGTGGGAAAACCCTTCACACGTTCTCCTGACTTGCTCCCCATTTGAGTGTAGGCTATAGAAGAGCAAACTCATTCACTGGATAAAAGCAGCCATTATTCAGATTAGAATTTCCTGGATTGATCATGATTGAACAAAAACTAGTAATAAACCATGGTACAGTATCATATAAATAAAGCTGCACTGCCACCCAAGTGAAGTACAGCTATCAGTAGCGATATAACGGCACGTGCACTTAATCATTATTATATAACGGCACGTGCACTTAACCATTGTAGCCGATGGTAATTATTCCCTACTTATAAACAAGAGGAAGCTTGCCATCACCTTATTCTTTCAAAGAACCTTCGGGTTTTAGACTTGCGATTCTGAGTACCTATTAATAAACCAAGACTCCAAAATTTTCATTTGACTAACGAGGAAAGTGAAGTCGAGAAGACCTGACCTTTGCACAACGCCAAGCAGCTAATTACTGACAAGGCAGGGGCGGGCCAGACCTGAAGACTCCATTGTTTACCACCACTCAAAGGAATTGATCTTAGAGTGAACCGTTACCTCCTGGAGAACTCTCTTCATCTTTAATAACAGCGTCTTTACTGCTGTGCAGTCCTGTAACATCAGCCTGAACGGCAGAGGATCTATGCCTCCGTTTTCCTCCACACTCGGCAGGGGCCAATCTGCCGATGGGCTGCTGGGCACCCGGCTGACATGAGAACATCTGGATTCCTGGTCCACGTCTCTTGTCAATTTCAAAGAAAGACTCCTAATAAGAAAAAAAATTAATAGAAATTAAAATGCAGCAAGCTTCCACTACCTTACCTTAAGCTGTTGATCAATATCATTAGTAGGAAAGAAAAAAATGTAGGTGACTCTCATCATTTCCTCATATTCTCCTCTGAAAATAACTTCCTGAGGAATTCTGAAATGGGTTCATTGTATATTTAATGGCAGGATTCAGTTGCAATTACTGTCTTAGAAGATGATCTTTTCCTAATTAGCACTTAATTTATTCGTGGTACTTAACTCATTTTAAAATGTTAAAGCTCAACAAAAATCAGTGGAAGACAAATTTTATAGCTAGTGTTTCTCATATCATGCTTAAAATTAACCAGAATCAAAAGATTTAGAAGTAAAAACTGAGAGAAAGTTGATTTGGTAATTATTATTTTAAATAAATAAAGCTATCAATAACTCAGTGATTAAGAAAAGCACTTTACAATGAATTGAATAGTTTAAAAAGCTAAAGGGGCATATAAGTGGGAACTGTATAACTCCATGATATTACTAACACACAGAGGGACTCAAAATGTGCCATCCTCCCTCACAAAATGCCACTTTAGCATATGGATCATTTTGAGCTGAAAGCAACTGAGAAGTAGATACAAGAAAAAGTCTTTGTCCTCCTCCTGTTCACCTAAAAGCAGGTATATATTCACAAAGTGTCCTTCTTCTCTGTCCGGCAGAACTTACTGGAGACAACTCTAGATGCTCATCAGGCCAGACGAGTCACCAGAATTATCCATGGAACAAACTTTACTGACAAGTGCTTGTCTTCAGTAACTTTCCATGTATTACCTTTCTTTATTCTGAAAGTCCTTTTCTTCTTACTTCTGTAAAAAATTCTCCTTCTTGGCCCCAATACTAAGCACTCATGTGAGTTACTCATCGGAGTGTCCCCTCTTATGTGCGCAATGCATATGTTAATGAACATGTCTGTTCTCCTCCTGTTAATCTGTCTTTTGCCAACCCAATTTATAGGACCACACCTCAGAATGTAGAAGGATAAGAATCAAACACAAAGTGCTTACTCTCATGAAAACCTGAGACCGACAAGAAATATATTAATAAGAGTGAATGGCAGTATCTGGACAAGTCTAATATTTATGCCCTTACAAGACTGCCTGAGGTGCTGTAATTTTTATATAAATATTCACTATAATTATTTGCATACATAATATGATTAGTTGAAGGCAGGGTCTGACACTGTCCACGTACATAGGTTAGTTCATCCTAAATTCACTTTTTACCTGCTTTTTAATTCAGGCAAAGTTTACTCATCTGCATTTGAGTATCATTGTGGGTAAAATGAACACCCTCATTGCACCTACCAGCCAGACTCACTCAAAGTGTGAATAAATTAACATACATGTCAACAGCCCTCAAAAACACTGTGAGATTACTTACACATTTTTTAAAAGCAGATATAAAACCAAGGTGGTAATAACTCTTATCACCCTAAAGTTGTGTTTTCTGTAGTACTTATACAAAGATGTATTCCTATTAAATTATTTCAATTAATAAGTAGATTAGAAAAATATTGAGTATTGTATTATTTGTGTCTCTGTCTGACCATGATATTTCATTGTTTTTTTTTTCTCAATTTATGTTGCTTAGGGATTTTGTTATATAATTCAGAAAATAATAATAATATACATAGATAAAAATCTAAAACTTTGTATTATTTTGAAACAGTAAAGACATACCATAAACATGAATTTATTTAGAAGATAAAATTAGCCATTTTTTTAGCCAGGTGTGGTGGCACATGCCTGTAATCCTAGCACTCAGGAGGCTGAAGGAGGAGGACCATGTGAGTTCGAGACCAGTCTGGGCTACAAAGTGAGCTCAAGGCCAATCTGAACTGCACAGTCAGACCCTGTCTCAAAAAGACAAAAAAAAAAAATAGCCACTTTTTATCCTCAACAGTTTATATCTATTTTTAATTCCAAAGAAGTATACAGTAGAGTTTCTTTTTACAATTATAAAACATATCCACACTGTGTCCAGCAGAGCAAAAGTGGCTGAATTTGCAAATATTAGTAGGAGTCTATCACTCATCTCAAGAATCTCACCATGATTTTTAAATGTGTTAGAGGAGCCAGATGTGATAGAACACGCTCTAATCCCAGCACTTGCAAGGCTGAGGCAGCAGGATTGCTGCAAGTTCAAGGCCAGCCTAAATGACAAAGTAAGACAGACCCTGTCTCAAAAAATATCAATATATAAACTAAAATAAACATCCTACAGTTAATACAAAACATAATGATATTCTCTCACATATTAAAAGTATAACTGCTACATGAAAAAACAGATCTACTGCAAGCCATATGGTATTAATCAAAAGCAATCCTAGTTCTGTCTAGGCAGTTGGTGAAATAAATATGAAATAGGGCTACAACTCAGGGGCACTGGTTAGCACAGCCATCTGGTTTATGTTTATGCCTGCTTTCTTTCTCATCAATGAGTACCTCAGGTTCAGTATTTTAAAGACTTGTTTTCAACAGTGGAGCATTATTAAATCCAAAATACGTATGTGTCTCTATTTAAATTCAAGTTAAAACAAAACAAAACAAAAACCTCTGGTTGACAAGAAAAGGAAGAAAATCCTTAATATAAATCCTTAATATAAACGATTATATTTATAATCCTAATATAATCCTTAATATAAAGTCATGGTGTCATGGTTTTCGCTAGAACAAACAACACATAATAAAGTCTTGAGGGCAGGACAAGGTTCAGGTGTCATTCTGTCCCTGCATTAGGAGGCCTCCCTGGATGATATAATGAATGACTTCAGGGTATGCAACCCACTGCCACCCAACTTGAATTATTATGGTTTCAGTACAGTGAAAAAATACTTTATATCAAAAAGATAGTCCCTTAATATTGAAAAAAGAAGGCATGATACTAAAGCTGGATAGAGTGGTTCATTAATCACCATAACTACTTCAAACAAAAAACAAACACCAGGTAATTGCTGCTGAGAACATTTATATACACTTTACTCTATACCAGCTCCATGAATCTTTGCTACAATTGCTTAATAATATTCTCACATGCCTGGATTCTGATGAATGGTCACCAGGTCCTCATAATTTAAAATGTAATAACGTTCAGATAAGGCTGAACTGAGACTTACAGACTTTTCTCAGTCTACAAGTACCAAAATTATAAGTATTGAAGAAGAATAATAGCAAAGCTCATAAATATTGCATTACTCCTCTTCTTGGTTTTTCTTTTCTTTTCTTTTCTTTTCTTTTTTTTTTTTTTTTTTTGGTACTAGGAATCAGACTCAGGACCTTGCGCTTGCCAGACAGGCACTTATGCCCCTGAGCTATATCCCGGCTCTCTTCTTGACTGATTAGAGAATTTGGGAGTATCAACTGATACTTAAAACATTTACTTTAAGGTACTATGGTAAATTGGCTTTGTACTTTTGTTACTGGGATCTTTCCTGCAGCAGAACTTCTCTACCAAGCTAGTTGAAAAGCTATACTGTAATTCTATTTTCAGTATGACAGAAAAGTTTAATGGGAAAATATATATCTTGACATAAACTGTGGAATGATTAAAGGTCTTTTTCATAGCAGATATAAAAAATTGAAGTGTATTTTTATAATTTTTTCTTATTTGGTTATAACTAGCAATATCATTTTTAAAGTGACAATTTTTCTTTCTGCCCACAGGAATTCTTCATATCATTTGAAAACTTCCCAATATAATGGCCCAAATGACTAACAAAATACAAGATCATGTCAGTTGCACAGCACTGATCCTCTTACCTGTCATACAAATCCTTCTTTACTTAACTCACTGACACCTTGCATTACAGGAACTGTTTATTGAAAAAGGTATCTCCGTGACTTATATTTATACTTATATTGTGGCTGTGATTTCTGAACAAAATTTTCAAGAACAGAAAAGTGCCAGTAACTTCTATTTGCCCCAATATAATAAATAAGCATATGAATATGACTGCCTTCCAAAACATAATTAAGCAGATTTGCAGAAAATAATAATGTAAAAGTCTTAATCTTGGGAACTTACTGGTATTATCTTAAATAATTGTAATACAGTCCCAATGGTACAAATGCATATTAATGAACTGACATTACAGAACCTAAAAACTGTCCTTCAGGGAACTGCCTATGCAAACCTACTGATGCTTAACAGCTGTATTTCTTTTCAAAATATGGTTTATCTGAAATATTTTAGGAAAAAGACTGTAAGTTTGGCATTGTATAATTTGGCATTTAGGAATAGAACCAGCACCACCCTCTGTAGTGGATGGGCTTTTATAAGAACCTAACATTTTAGATTTAAATAAAAGAACCTAACATTTTAGATTTAAACAAGTTACCACTGCCTGAGATGTGGGGGAAAAGTCAGGTAGAATCCATATATTTTAACATAGGCATCAAGGACTTTCCTAATACAGCAACTGTCTCCCTAATTCCATCTCATCTCCTAACATCTGTCTCCTTGCTCTCAGAATCCCAAACACATTGTCCTTTATTCAGGCCCTGAAATGTATCTGGCTCCATCCTGCCAGAGTGTTTGCATATGTTCTTCTTTCTACATTAAAAAGTGTGCCATAACTACCTTTAGGTTTCTCCTTATAGTACATCGCATTCCTAGAAGGAGAACTTTGTATCCATCAAAAACTACATAGGGTCCTCCTTTTCTTATGATAAGGCTCCCTTTGTTGCACCAAGTATTCATGTAAACAACTAATTTGGAAGATCTCTGGAAACACACTGAGATGAGCTGACCTATACTTCACCTTATGCTTCAATGGCAGAAAAATGCTCCATAAGTTATAAATACTACACTACAAGGGAGAAAGTCAAATAGATTTCCATGTGCCAAAAAGGGTAATCAAAACTGAGATCATTATACAAATTGTGCTGAACTTCAATGTCATCTTATCTTCTTTTCTTACACCTGGTAATCTGAGCAACTTCATTGAAGGTAACAATATGT